TGATAAGACAGAGTTTGATGAAGAGGATATGGTGGTGAAAGCCACCTTGCTGGGACACGTCTCCAGTCTGGAGGAATGGACTGCAAAGCAGATGAGTGGTGAGAAGCAGGATCTTTCTAGCTACGGGAACTTGAGCTTGGGGGCTACTCTGAAGACTCTTCCGTCTTGAGGGAAGTAGGCTAGACGTATGTGGAGACAGAGAGTAGATTAGTGGTTGCCTGGGGCAGGGGATAGGTCTTGAGGGGTCTCTATGATGTTGAATAGCCAGTGGGAATTCTATTCTTGGTTTACTGACTGCAGGAGCTGGAAAATGGACTGGATCCACTGGTTTCCAGAAAGTCTTTAATGGACAGCCTTGGATGAGGCCACACCAGAGTACAGCCCTGTCTGGAGCAGACGTCAAGCAAGGGTCCAGAGCCTGGTGCGTTGGGCCTCTTGGCCGGTGCCACTCCACCCTAGCTGCATTCAGAACCACTAAGACAACTGCTTTAGGCAGAAGAGTCCACATTTCTTCATCTCCTTGGTTATCCCTCTTGTCCATTCTACCATCTTCTCTCTCCTGGAGGCCACACAGCTTCCTAATTGGTCTCCCTGTCTCCACTCTTAACGCCCCACAATTCATCTTCCACACAGCAGCCAGAATGATCTTTTAAAATCAGAACATCTCACTCCTTTGCTTAAGATTCTCCAGCGGCTTCCTACTCTTCTTCACCCTGCTCACCTTTTTTACTTCTTGCATCGTCCCGCTTACTCATTCTGTTCCAGCCACAGTGACCTCCTGGCTGCTCCTCAGACAAATCAAGCTTGCCTGCACCTCAGGGCCTTTGCACCCGCCGGTCCCTCTGCCTAAAAATGCTCTTCCCCAGACTTTCACATGGCTGGATCCTTATCACTCAGGCCTCAGCTCAAATGTCGCCTCCTCAGAGTGGCCATTCCCGACCACCTCATCCATAGCTGCTTCTATCCCACCACTGTGTTATATTTGTTGGTTTTTTTCTACATATTTCTTGAGGTATATTTAACATATTCTAAAACTCACCCATTTTAACAGCACAATTAAATAATTTTTAGTAACTATACCAAGTTGTACAACCATCACCATAGGTCATTTCCACCTTTGAGATCCCTCATGACCATTAACTGTTAATCTCCATACCTATCCCCTGCCCCAGGCAACCACTAATCTACTCTCTGTCTCTACAGATTTGCCCTTTTGGAATTGGAATACAGTTATTATCTAATATTCCACTGCTCTGTTTTATTTTATTTAAAAAAATTTTTTATCGTGGTAAAATATACATAACATAAAATGTACCATTTTCACCATTTTAAAGTGTATGGGTCAGTGGCATTAAGTTGTGCAACAATCACCACCATCCATCTCCAAAACTTTCTCATCTTTCCCAACTGAAACTCTGTATCCATTAAATACCAACTCTCATTCCTCTACCCCCCCAGCCCGTGGAAACTACCATTCTACTTCCTGTCTCTATGATTCTGATTACTGTAGGTGCCTCACGTAAGCAGAATCACACAGTATTTGTTCTTTTGTGACTGGCTTATTTCACTTAGCATAATGTCTTCAAGGTCCACCCATGTTGTGGCATGTGTCAGAATTTCCTTACTTTTTAAAGCTGAGTAATGTTCCTTTGTATACCATATTGTGTTTGTCCATTCATCTATGGATAGATACTTGGGTTGCTTCCACCTTTTGGCTATTGTGAATAACGCTGCCATGAATATGGACGTATAAATATCTGTTCAAATCCCAGCTTTAACTTCTTTGGGGTATATACCCCGAAGTGGAACTTCTGGGTAATATGGTAATTCTAAGTTTAATTCCTTGAGAAAGTATCCTATTGTTTTCCACAGCAGCTGCACCATTTTACACTCCTACCAGCAATGTAGGAGTGTATCAGTGTAGTGATATTACATATCACTATGTAATATTTTCTTCTTTACTTGTTTGTTTAAATATTAACTGCCTGTCTCTCCAAACTAGGATGCTAGCTGCATGAGGGCAAGGAGCTTGGCTGTCTTGTTCACCAAAACTCCAGTGGTACCCAAGAACCAACACACATTTGCTGAATGAATGACAGACCTTAGGGCCACCAGCTTCTACAAGCTTTAGTGCTACCACAGTCCTCCTTCTTTTATCAACCCCAGGATACACAGAAGCTAGGGAGCTCCTTTCTTCTACTCTGACACACCAGAGGACCATGTAGAAGAACTGGGAATATTTTTCCCAATGATTCCGTGCTTTTCCTTGTGAAATACAAAGAAATGAAGATATTTTGAAACAGATCTTGAGAGCATCCAGGGCCTTTGGGAACATTCTGCTGAGACTGTAATTATAACCAGGAGAATGTGCTGGGCTCCTCTGGAAGTTCTTGGTGCTACTCATATGCAAACATAAAAGAGGCAGTCCCTTGAAACAGAATCAAATGGCTAAGAGTGAAAACTATAAAGCTTTTCACTAGAAAAGCAAATTGTGCAGTCCCTTCTTGTGCATTACCTATGCTTTCTAAAAATATATATTTTTCCAAAAAGGCTGGCATTTGCTACCCAACTTTTGAGCATTAGTTCAGGCAGCCTGGGCAAACCACAAATAAATATGTCACAGAGACTGCTTGCTGTTTGCTTGTTTTCCCTTCTTTCCACAGTTGATAGAAGACTTTTATTCAAAAGAAGACCCTTGAATTTTAGCGGAGCACATGGATTCCTGACATGAAGACTTCATTTCAGGGCTTCCCTGCAGCTAGAAGTGGCCATGTAACTAATAACTAGCCAGTGCAATGTAAAGAGCAAGGTGCAGGTAATTCTGCACAATGTCCTTAACGGGAGGATCTGTGCCCTTCCTCTCTTCCTTTTTGTTGGCTAAACCATGAACCTGATGGCTGGGACTTGAGCACAGTATCTAAGCAGATACTGAGTGCCTAATGATTTGAGGCTGCCACACCAATCTTGGATCGCCTACCTCCAGATTCCTTTACATGGGAGAGAACCAAGCTTCTGCTTGAGCGATTGTTACTTTGGATATCTGTTACTAGGAGCCAACCTAGTCCTAACGCACACGGAATCTCTCCAGTAAGATCACAGGAGAACCCAAGCACAGAAATAAGTGCTTCCTAGTTACACATAACAAAGTCTGTTGTTCCATCAAAGTCTGAGCTGCTTTAAAGCTGATGCCAAGCCCAGCTTAGCCAATATACTAAGGGGGTGGCAGTGATCTGCCATATTGCCTACCAGTCAGAAGAAAGGATGAGTCAATACTAACAACGGTAACGGTGGTAGCTAACGTTTAGTGAGCACTTCTTATAACGCAGACACTCAGCCAAAGAGCTTTATACATACCATCTCATGTTATCTTCACAACAGTCCTGAGGTTTAAAGATAAATCCATCACACGGCTTATGAGTGATGGAATGAGAGCCAGCATGCCACACCTTTACATTGTACCCATAAGGAGCATCCATTATACTTCCTCTTTCCCACACATAAAAATAAGGTAGTCAGGCCTCTGCGAGGGCACACCCCTCCTTTACCAAGGACAACTTTCACTGGACACCCTTCCCCACCTCCAAAACTAACATTGTCCCGAAGACCCAAAACACTGGGCTAACCATGGAGTCAACTTGCTAGGCACATGGTGCCTCTCAGTCACTAATTTCCTTGCGTCATTTTTAACTTACAGCCATTTAATCATAACTGAAACACAACTATAACATAAAAACCAAGTTACATGTTTGTTTCGGAGCCTTATTTCACATTTATGCTAATATCAATATTGCAGAGCTATTTTTCATGACCATCCTCTCCTGGCCCCATGTGTTGCAATAACATAATGAAATCTGTACCAATTCATTAGATAGCCAATGTTTTACAGGAAAGCATCAATGCGTATAGGAACTGACTTTTATTTAAGGAGGGAGACCCCCTCACATCTGCCTGTCAAATGACCTTCTTGGTGGGAAGGCCTCACTGCAAAATAGGCTTTACTTCATAGAAAGTTGGACTTACGCAATGCTTGATCAAGTCAGTTTATATGATTGTTCTAGACCTCAGCTTCCTCATCTATAAAATGGGGATAATAATACTTCCTCACAGTGATTTCAAAGATTCAGTGAGATTATGCTTGTTACCTACTTGGCACAGTGCCTGGCACCCAGTAAGTGCTCAATAAGAGGTACCTACTTTTAAAAATCATTAATTCATGGGTGGTACAATCTGACTGAATGAAGCTTTCAGTGAACTAATGTGTTCAATTACCAAACAACTTCCCAAAATTGAAAAAAGAAGATAATGGTCACTACTATGCTCACTTGGAAAGATGACTCACTCTAGCTGACTAAATCCGGACTCATTTTTTTAAGGCTGGCCGTCTCTAAATCTGATTTCTTACCTTGACTCAGCATAATCTATGCCATTAGTAACCAACCTGGGCATTTTGTTAGTTTTTGTTTTTAGGCTTTTTCTCCCCTAAGTTATTGTTATTCTCTATTCTTAGATTGCCTTTAGTGGTGGTTTTAAGTCAGAGACATTAAGTGGGACTGTTTTTTTCTTTTTCTTTCCCCTTTTCTTCCCCCTAATGGTTATAGTCAGAGGTGAGTACTACCTTTGATCTTCTATCTGCCACTGGGAGACATTTATGAAAGGCACAGGCAACAAATAGCTTCTAGAAGTCTTTATGATGGGCCTTTGCCTGAAGATAGCCTTAATTTTGAATCCATGAAACTCAGCTGAGTCAGACTGGGTTTTCAGACAAACATCTGCTTTAAGAATTTATCCCTGCAAGCATTATCTCGAGCCCTTTCTAACTGTTAATGCAGGGCACCACTAGTTCTATTAAAAATCTCCCAAATAGTAGAGGTAAATCCAACATTTCACTATTACAGACATTTGCCCCCAACCCAAATTCTGACAGCAGAGGAAAGAAGCGGCAGCTCTTCCACTGTTTCCAGTATTCACTTTTGGAGAATACCCTCCTAAAAAATGCTTACTGTGATTTTCCAGGTACATTTGCTATTTGGAGGGTACACTCCAGGAAAACCTTCGCTGCCAATAAAGCCAGACTCGCCAGTAAGAATGCCGCCACATGTGAAAACAGGTCTGGGAAAATAAAAGAAGAAAAGAAATTTGAAACACTGTCTAACAATTTAATGTCAATTTCAGAAAGATGCAGTCTATTAATATGGATAAAGTGAATACTGACAATTAACTGCCTGCATCATATACGGGGTTTGAAATACTTGTTAGCTCTTAGAATAAATTCTAGCCTGCTAAAACATTCAGTCCAGCTGCCATCTGTCTCCGCCATAATATCAAGATCAATCTATCCGTCCATCCATCCATATGCAATCAAGTCCTCCACATAAGTGGTAAGATCTTACAGGAAAATGGTAAATGGAAAATTTAACTGCGGGGAGTGAGAGAGAGAGGGTGAGAGCTAGGCTCCGTGAAGTGCGTGGTTTTAAAGCTAGACAAGTAATTGGTTAATATAAAAAAGTTTTAATTTCCTGGATTTGGAGAGATGCCTAATTCTCTTTGTTTGAAAAATCGTTGGCCATTGGCAGAACCTCCCATTGAAAAGGAGCAGGCAAAGTTGGCCATAGGGCGGGTCTCCCGGCCCAGGTCCTGGAGCCATCTGGCAGCTCAGAGGTTGAAGAGTTAAACTTGCCAAGAGCCGCTCCCCGGGCGCCGGGCAACTCGCGTTTTTCCCTAGGCTTCTGTCTCTGGGCAAAGCCTCTCCGGGGAAGAAAACAGGAGTAAAGCAAAGTCCACACATTTGGGTCCCAGTGCTTCCCAGCGCCCGCCTGAACTTTCGGGGAGAGGAGAGGTGGTGGCCGGCCGGCTGCGGGGCCGTGGGGCGGGCGGAGCTGGGGGGCGCCGGAAGGAGCCCCGAGGACAGGCGCCATCCCGGGGTCCTGGTGGCGTGTGGGTCCCCCGGCGCCCCGAAGCGGAGTGGGTAAAGCCAAGCCGGG